ATGGTCTCGATCCAATAATACTATTTAATTAATTGGTCTTTGGATCTTTGCTCGATCCGACTGTGTCACAAATCGAAACAGTGATACCAGAATAACAAAAAAAAAACAATCAATATTTCTAAATATTTTAAACTAAAACAAGAATTCAAATTTTCACGGTGTTTTCGGAAAACACGTATTTACAATACATTTGGGTGAATACAAAAAAAAAAAAAAAAAAAAAAATGAACGAATCAACGACTTTTTGTCATGTCGTGATCCGGATCGGTTCGTTCACAAGTTTGGCCCGTTGAATTAGACCCGTTCGCGAACGAACGACACATCTCTAGTGCTTCCGATGCCACGCGTTCGGCCACAATGCCAAGGGGAAAAAAAAGGTAATGGATCGACTCAAGCATTGCATTGAATACACATTATTTTATCATATTTTATCAAATGTTGAAAAAATAACAATAACAATTGTTACGTTCGCCAACAAATGGAAAATAATAATATTATTATCATGTATACCTAATAAATAAATAAAAACTTATTGTGAACATTATTTACTTTATGCCACCTATAGCTATATGCTTACAAAAATTTCGAGGTAAGGAATACTTTATTGATATACTAGTATGATTATATTTTGTATTATAATGTATTATGTATTATTATGTTGATATTTATTTTATCAGCACTGAGTTATAATTTTTTTGATAAACTGTTATTAAACACATAAATTAACACAAAATGGTTAGAAGGTAAAAGGATTTAAGCACCTACAACTAAATTGTTCTGGAAATCAAAAAACAAAATATTTAAAACAAATTGTATTAAAACCTTAGAACATAAAATAAAAAATCGTCGTAGGACTTATACGTTTTGTATGGATTAATTATTCATAATTATATAGTTATAGCAAATTTAAAAAAAGGCTCTTACGCCATTTTTTTCCTGTACCTGCAGACACTTACACCCCATAGATGTTCTATTGAATACAATCGCTTTCATAATTTACAATTATTATTTTTAATGAATGATGATTTGTCATTTGTGGCAGGTATGTATTTAAAAAATGGTATTATATTTTAATTAAGTTAAATATTTAAAATTGTTTTGTGAACATCATAAAGTTAAGTAATAATATTAATATTTAAGGAAATAAATACTAATAGGTACCTACACTTCAATACGCCATCCCTAAAAACTTAATACCAGCCAAATATTTACCTGAGCTCTAATCACAGTTTATTTTTGAAATTTTTTTTGTTTCTAAGATACCTAGGCAAATTATAAATTGTAATAATGAATACAATAAATCGAGTTCTGGTTAAATTATATTATAAATTGATGTAACCGCCAACAATGACACTTTCGTCCTATCACGTTTCACTGAAGGCCGCTTGCATCTATTAATTGATGTTCACATACATTTTTCAATCCCTCCAAATATATGATGTTTACAACCACATGTTAAGACATCSATTGTAAATAATAAATAAGTGATATCGATGTTTATGTTGGATGAATCAATGTAAATTTTGCCATTTAAGACAATGGGCAAAAAAGTCGATTTAAAAAAAGTGGCGCTTGCGAACTTTAACCTTCTAACCATATTATATTGTTGTATGCTATTTATTATAATTCTAATTATTCATAACATTATAATGTAGGTGGTAAAATTGTTATAGCTTAAGATTTTTATAAAAATTGATTCAAGGGCAAACATTAAATTTCCTGTTTATTAAATTTGTGGAAATAAATTTTAGTTAGGCTTAGAAAATAATTTAAAAAATTGATTTAAAAATAAATTATGTACCTAAGTATACAAAAAATTCGCACAGTTTATACATCTTTATAATCTATAATGTGAATATATTATACCGTAATTTGTAGAAGATCGATGACAATATGGAATAACACAATAATGTTTTTTATTTAGATCTATGTTATGGTAATATTTAAAGTTAATAAATAAATATTACTGAAGTTAAAATATTTATGATATTCTGCATACTTAAAAAAATAAAAGGTCGATATCTCATATTGCGTTTTCTTTATGTTTGAGATCAATGATTATAATCCTAATTTTGACATTGATTTCTGTTTTAAATTCTATTTGTCGTAATCATTAATTATTACAACTATTAGAAAAGTATCTTTAAAAATGTGTATCAATTATTCTACGGAAGTAAATCTTTAGTATATTATTATATAACTATTGTTCGAGCCGGAAATGCTACAATAACATGGTTAGCGCCCGGGCACCGTATGTACTCCGCAACGCCTATAATACCTGACTTGACGCACACCGACCGATCTGTATAATGTGTGTGTATATATGTGTAGCAAGGCTCAAAGGAAATTGACGCGTTCGCCAAACAGCTCAATGAGTGCTAGTCTATGGGTGGTGTGTGCATATTTAAAACTAATGTTAAGGGGTAATTCAAATAAATGATAACAATTTTTGATTATTTGTTGCTGTATAATACACAAATTTAAATAATAAACAGTTTTCATTTACAGAAAAACAAGGGTTTAGAAAAATATATAAATATATAATAGTAGGTATACACGATTCGATATTAACTATGGCCTTCTTGGCCAATCAGGCAAAAAATGTTTATGTCCAGCTATTAAGCTCAAGCACTTGTATAAATATAAATTGATGAAAATATGATAATTTAGACCTTTTTTGGCCAGTTGATAAATATAATAAATACCTAATAAAAACGCGAAGATATACTTCCGATATTTAATAATTTCTGCATCTCTTTTGAGAACCAACAAGAAACAATAATATAATATATTAAAATATAACGATAAAAAGTCACCGATTGACGGAGCAATGCTGTCCAGCCGCTACATATGTGCTGAAATATGTGCACACAAATCTTACGAACGACTGCTATTGTTTTTAGTTGACAAGCCGGTGGCGACCGATAATGAATCACGCGTCGTCTTAATATATTATTATATAATTCACAACACAATTATGTAATGCCAAAAATACAAAAATAAACACAATTCAAAAGTTTGATGTGTGCGCATGTGTGTGTTTTTGTTGTATTGGTCGGTGGCTTTCCTGATAAAAATAGTAGTGTATATGGTGATTAGGTGCTCGGTCGCGAACTAATGTTATATTTCACAAATAATAAAAGTTAACTTTATTAAATTAATTTATATGTAGCATAAAATCTTATAATTACTTATGTAATACATTTTTAAAATTTCAAAATACTCCTTATTAGCCACAGGTACCACACTAGTAAAAATTCTTCGGCAAAATATGTTCAAGATTTTTGTTTTTTTGTTCAACGATCTTTTTAGGATGAATCTTTCAAGGCCCGCCCAGAAAGTCAAATAAATTAACAAAACTGGAAAATAATTTATTGAGATATCACATAAAAAATTATCCATAAATTATTTATTAACACTAAATATTTAATAAATCAGTAGTATTATTTAATATAACATTTAGTGTTTCATGAATGGATAATTATATATAAATGAACCATAAAAATAATCGTATAATTTTAAAATTTAATAGAGTTGCTAAGAGATTTTACAACTTATAAAAGTAAGTTGATATTTATTAATTAATACGTTAACTTTATTATTATCATGGTATAGTTTCAATAAAAAAAAAAGCGGGTAAGTCGTGTATGTCGCTATGCTGTACAGTAGGTTACAAGTGGGTTACTGTAATGGATGGAATTAAATTT